TTTTTTTTTTTTTTTTTTTTTTTTTTTTTTTTTTTTTTTTTTTTTTTTTTTTTTTTTTTTTTTTTTTTTTTTTTTTTTTTTTTTTTTTTTTTTTTTTTTTTTTTTTGTCAGCTTGCTAATGAAGCTGTTGTTATTCCTGGGAAAAGGAGGAGGTAACGCGCGGCGAGGGGAGGCGTGCGCACCGATAACTCCCTTTCCAATTTGTTTTGCCCTGAAGAAAATGGAAAATGTCTCTGGCAAAGGAATTGGCCAGCAGCTCTCTGTGCCCGCAGCTCGCGTCCTCGCCCCGTGGGGCTCCGAGGGCTGCTGGGCTCCCGGGTGAGCCTCTTCAGCCCCAGGCCAACCCGCAGCACCTTCTAGCACCTTCTGTCTAAGGATTTTCAAAGGGCTGCACAAACACTAATTAATTACCCGTGCTCCGAACCCATGCAAACGGAGACCCGGGGATCCATTTTACAGATGGGGAACTGCTTGCACGGGGAGGCCCAGCGAGTCACCTCTATCCCCGGTCGAGCCAGAAATTAAAATATTAATTTTCTCGACTTTAAATATAAACCCCATTGATCACTTTGCCGTTCCAGGAGACGGGGGGAGACAGGCTGATCGGGAAATTAATTCCCCATCTCCTTGCATTCAGCCTAGAGACACATAAAACCTAACAGAGAGACATAACACGGCGCTCCCCTCACGTTCACACCCGTTTGCACAGAGACTTTTATCCCCAAATGCTTTACACAGTCAAAACAACACCAAGAAAGAATTAAAAATCATTAGGAGGAGAGAGAAACTAATTTGAAAAATATGGGCACGCTCATAGCTGCTCAACTGAGCCTTTAACCAGCTGAAGAGCCAGCTTGGTGGAGAGAAAGGAGAGGGATGTCCCTGGTGTTAGGAACTACAAAGGAGGAGGCTCCGGCATCAATACAGGCCGGAGTGCGGGAGACAGAGACGGGAGACAGAGACGGGAGACAAATACTGATGGGAGGGGGGGGGTGGTGGATGGTGGTGGTGTCACGGGGATAGAGGGGACCAGATTTTCCAGGGCAACTGAAGACGCAGACAGGCACCTGGCAGGATTTTCAAAAGCAACTGAGCAAGATAGGTACCTAAATCCCACCGATTTCAATGGCTGGGAGGACGTCTAACCTGCTTACGCTCTTTTGAAAATCCCATTAAGTGCCAGCTGCATGCTTGGGGACCCAAACACATTTGAAAATTTATTGTAAGGCTCCCGGACGGAGAAATTTTAAGAGCGAAGCACTGTCGTGCCGATGTCAGGAATTAAAAAACAGAGCCAGATGCCCTCCCTGCCCCAAAAGGAATCAGGTGGTTAAGAAATAAGAGAGTATTTCTTTCCATTTAAAGAAATAATTTTGCATTTGCACACGTAGCCTTCCTCATTTCTAGCACCTCTCTTTGTCTTTCGTAATAAACCAACTGGAGCGAGTAGGGATTTACGGCGGAAAACGAATACCGCTGCCAGGCTCCCGACACAAGTGTGTGAGTGGCGGTGCTGGGGGGGACACGACAGGTAGGCGCTGGGCTACCCAGCGAGGCAGCGGGGCTGCCGGGGACACTGCTGGGACGGCGATGTGTCGCTGCAAATGCGGGGAGGCGGGAGACAACAGGCAGGCATCGGAGGGCAGCTTTGCCATCACGCTCAGATGCGAGCGGGACGCCGGGCGACATCCCTTTATTTTCGGGGAACGCGTTGGGGCAACTCCGGAAAGGCTGTATTTTGCTGTGACATAGCTGTATATTGCACGTACGCCATTAAGAATTACAGCATTAATGATACATGGATTATTTTTTCTCTGAATCAAGGTTATTTTGCCAGCGTGGATCTTCCTGTAAATTTCGATGCTTTCATTCATGTTTTTTTAGAAAACTGTTAAAATAGGATTGTGGAGGGAATGCCAGACTTTCCCACGAGTTCGCTTTAAATATTTAGGTAGCAGCTGTCTCTTGGTCACTGACAAACTTTGAAATCCACAGAGTAAAACCTCAACAAACAATAGCGTAAAGACAGAGACTTTCTGAAAGGTTCTTCAAGAAAACCTCTATTTCTAAAGCATTTTAACGCCAACAGCTAAACTGACACAGCAGAACCATTGTGTTTCGCACCAGTTTTGTTTTGCTCTGTACAGCTGTGTTTTCACAGATGCAAAACCATGTGTCTTCAGCAAAAGGTCTACTCTTCCCTTCAGATGTGAACGAAGATCAAAGGCTCAAACACAGAAATACAAGCTCCTTTTCCCTTTGGAACATGTTTTTATTTTTTTGCAGGGGCTCTAAACCAGAATTCCCATCTGTTGTCCTTATGCGGTGCACAGGTTAACCTTAACGGCCGGGTCTGCGATGCTGTTATCTCAACTAAGAAGCGCGGGGAGGAACCACTCCTGCACGTAGGCTCCGAGCACCTCACCGAGCAGCGGGAGCAGGGCTGCCGCCGACCACCAGCCGTCGCCGCACCGAGACGAGGGGTGAAGCGGGCTCGTCCCTTCTTTCCCCTCCAACAGAAAATTAGGAACTTCCCGAATATTACGTGACTACGGTCACACTTAAAACCCCTCCAGCCTAAGTTCTACGCTGTGGTAAACCGGTGTGATTCCTTTGGGTTGAATGGCAGCGTTTCAGTTTACGGCACGAGAGGCGCAGGCCTGCGGCTTTTAGGCAGCACCACTTGGCGTTTTGTCTCCGCTCCCCCGCCAAGCAGGCCGGCAG